GATGCCTGAGCCACTTGTCCACGGCAGTGGACGTGATCAAGGTGACCAGGACACTTCTTCTGCAGTGCCAACCAAACTTCACGGCATGTAGTGGCCACTGTCCAAGACTTCTGAACTGGATGTCCTCGCCACTGCAAACCATATGCACATCCGTGGAAGTGACACCAGTAAAGTCGCCGACCATGTCGGCGCGCCAATCTCTCAAGCCGTTGAATGGCGTTGGATCTCCAGCCCTTCTTGGCTCCTGTTGGCCATTCCCAACTCACATCATCTCCAGCCTCTAGCATGGGCTCCACCGCCTGCACCACCTCATCTGCCCTGCGAAGATCTCGGCCTTGACGCTTCTGGAATGCAGCTTCCTCCACCTCATTCCTCATAGTGAGGTTGACCAAGCCTGTCAACCTTGTGCATGGCAAACTGACCCATGCATGGCGTGGCCGCTTCTCCTTGATCATCTGAGACAGGGCTGTGGTCCCGGACTTCTTCTCCAGGTCATAACCACTCTTGAAGTTCACCCTGGTGCAATGGTGTCCAAGCTCCTCCATTGCCGTAGTCATCGAGGAAGTGGGCGAACACGCGATCTCAACAAAATCTGTTCCACTCGAGAGCTGTCCAAAGAGCCCTCGAACAGACATCACCATCATAGCGCTCAGCATTGCTGAGTTGGCCGCCAACTTTCGTGCCGTTGAGGGTGGCACTCCATGCTTCTTTCCTCCTCCAGGACCTGGAAGTGGCAATTGCTCCTCCACCAAGTTGCCCTGATGCCGACTGGCGCTATCATCTCGATGGCTGCCTTGAAACTGAATGGCACTTCGGGGTTGACTTGATGGACTTCCATGCTCATCCACTGGAGTCGTAGTGCTCGTAGTGCACGTGGGTGTCGTGGGGCTCTCAACCGAACCCTTCAGCCTTCGCTGGAGACTCTTCAGTGCTGCCCAGATGCCGCCGAGCCCCCGTTGGGGATCACCTTCTCCTCCTCTGATGAGAAGATGTCCACTGGTTCCATCATCTTCTTCTTGGAAGTCTTCATCCTGCCCTCGGTCTTGACCGGCGTCTTCGGAGGTTCTGGTGCTTCCTCGGCTGCCTTGGCAATGTGGGCTTCCACTGCAGCCTTGAATTCCTCCGGATCGAGGGAGTCCATGCCAGTCTTCTTGAGCAGATATTCCGCGGCGGCCATGCGGATCAGGTCGTACTGGGCAATCCCTGATTCCTCGCTCTTCTTCTTCGGACTTGCCTCGTTTGGCGCTGAGGATTGCGCTTCCGGCAGCAATGTCTTGCTCTCCACCTGGGCTCCCATCTGCTTGGCATACTCCTGGAAGGTGAGGTTGATTGCCATTGTCTCCGTCAGACCTCTCTGCATCTGGAGGCCCTTCAACTCCATCACCTTGCCCATGACGATCTTCTCCGTGCAGTCGTTCGCTGACATTGACTGCTGGAGCTGATCCAAAGCCAGGCGAACCAGATTCGGATGGGGTCCGGCAGACCTTGTCTCCCCATGGCCCTTGGGCTTGACCTCGTACGTCAGCCTGAGTCCACAGCGAGCGCATGTCGACCAGCTCGCGAACTGGTTCTGCCGGATCTTGCCCGTCTTGTGGCGTGCATTGCATGGCCACTCGGTCAACCGTGGGTCTTGACTGCCACATGGTTGGAGACGGCTGCTTTCCATCACGAAGCCGGAGTTGAAGATCTCTCAACCTTTGAGCCAGATCGCTAGTGGGCATGGAAGGTGAAGTGCAAGATGCTGTGAACATGTAGATGCCCTTGTCGGGTTCATTCAACTGCTCATCAACTGCCGGAGTAGGTGACATTGTTGCAAACCACATGTGGGGGTTCTCCATGACAGTGGCTGTTTCAACCAAATCCAAAGAAACATGGTGTGTGTGTGGTGAGCTCCCATCTTCACTGCATACCACGAGGTCTTCTGAGGATCCTGACCTCGATAGATGAAGAGGTCGTTGTCGTAGGCCAGCATGGCCCCAAGCTGCCGCAAGGTCTTGCCTCCGAGCAGTGGTGGAGTCTGAGTTGCATCATGGCCCAAAACGTAAAAGCTCACTGCACCAATCGAAGTCCCTTGGATGTCCGCTCGGCTCAATGCCTGTGCCTGGTGTCCGTTCCCAAACTTGAACACTGGTCTATCATGAACATCAACAGTGTAAATCAAACCAGACTGTTCGAGCAGCTGCTGGAGTGAATCAGCACCTACAGCATTTTCCGATGCACCTGTGTCCACTATGACTCGTGTGCCTTCGGTCACGTCCGACATGAAAATGCCAGGGGTCACGGACAATGAATGAAACTGCACGGCCTTCCCAGAACCTTTCCCGGGTGAACGACCAAATGAGCTGCGGGCGAACGATTTGCCACCTCCTTTGGAAAACCTGTCAGGGCAGTCCTTGTAGCTGTGACCTTGCATTCCGCATACGAAGCACGGACCAAAGCTCCTGCCCTTGCCACCTGAATTGCTCTTGCCGCCAAACGACTTGCTTTTGCCCTTGCCCTTACCAATGCCCTTTGTTGCTGAGCCCTTGCCTGTCGCCGACTCTGGCGCGAAATAGCCACGTGCTTGACGCACTCGACGAACGGCATCTCGTGCTTCAGCCAAGGTTCGATTGGCCTCACCTGCAAGGGCGTAAGCCTCACGTAGTTGCTGCTCTGCTGGATCCTGACCCTCTTCATGAGGAATGGACTCATCTTCAACGGCCCACTCCCACTCGCCAGCGTCATCCTGCCAGTCTGAGGTCCAGTTCCAGTATGCTTCTTCCTCACCATCTTCCCATGATGAGGGACCTGGATCGTGCTCCCAATCCCATGGCGCTTCGTCGAACTCATCCCAACCAGCATCTTCTTGCTGCCACCAGATCTTGGGCTTGCGGCCCCAATGTTGCGATTCTTCTTCCTCTGCAAACAATGTCCGCAATGCTCGACGAATCTGGAGGAAGCCGGTGCTATTTCCCGTTTGGGTCAATATGTTTTGTTTCTCTGAACTGGTCAGCTTTGCCGCCTTCAACAGGCGATACCCCCTGAGCTCGTCCTCGAAGAAATCGGGCATGTAGGCGGGCTGAGCCTGAGGTGAGGATACCACAGGATCAGTGCGCTCACGCTCAACAAACCGCATCCCAGCCATTGGACTCTGTGAAGGCGTTGAAGGTGGTCCTCTTCCAGTGACTTCCTGAATCATGGGAGGTGCCAACAAACCCCGGTCTTCCCGAGCCCTAGTCAGAGCAGATTGTAACTGCACAAACATGTCCTCCTCTCTGACTAGAAGCTTGGGGATTGACTCACCGGGCAACCGCTTCAACATGTGCCATGCATCAAGCCGCTTGAAACTGTCTGCAATGGGCAATGCTTGTAGTGGAGATTTCCTCAACACATCAACAAGGCGTGATAGCCCATCATCAGCTTCATAGTCATCGGGATCTAGGTGCCGAACCACTGCACGTGCCGGTCCAGTCAACCTCGCCCAAATCCGACTTGCTGCTTGCTGCCTCTCTGAGCTCTTAAATGACTTTTCATACCAGCGGCATGCTGTAGCGAATGCTTCAAACTCAACAGGGTCTCCTGACCAGGTCGGGATCTCAGCTCCTTTGTCAAGCACCATGGCGGGAGCCCCCAGGAAGGGGCTCCGCTACCATGAACTTGGTAGCAACTCCAATCAACAAGCTATGGGCCTGCGCCCTCAACCAACCAATGTCAACAAGCAATGTCAACACAACCAATGCTATCACCAACCACAGGTGAACGACAATGCACAACCGAAGTGCTCGAAAGGACCTTTTCCGCTCACATGGCTCGAGTCGTCGACGAAGCCCTCCCTGACAAGATCAAATGGCCACGGATGAGTCCACATGCTCAACATGCTCAAATGGGTCTGACATGCCTTCTAATCTCACAATAAGGTATGACGACAGCAAGGTCACAATACAGGAAAGCACAATGTGCCACAGTTCTCAGACTGCCAAGTAGCATGTCTCGGACCTTTGAACAACGTATCTTGGCCATGCCACATCACCCCAAGAGATCCACAACAAACTACGAAACAAAAGTACAAGCACACGCACAATGAACGCATGCATGAACAATCCGCTTCCCACACACCACCTCCATCATAACTGGAACGAACATCCTTTAAGAAACCCGCGAAGATGGGAGGTGAATTTGGTAAAACCATGTAAAACCTTATGCGAACCCCGCTGTGTGACAGGGGGTATACATTTTGGAGAACAAATGTCTTCACCTCCAAATGCCACATAGAGTAGCGCAAACTGGAATCTAAAGAAGAAAAGAAGAGTGGCTCTTCCGTGGCAGCCCAGTTCTGGAGTCCAAAAGACAGCAAAGCAGCTGAAGCAATTATCACACTCAGTTGCCTTACAATCAATACGCAGCCGCATGTGCACCCAGTGAGAAAGCAGGCTTCATCAAACGCAAAAAACCTGATGCACTGATGCTCAGAAAAATGAGGAACAAACACAAAGTGTGCTTGCTTGGCTTGAGCAGGATTAGCCACCAATGGCCCGAATCTATGCTGTCTACAATTCATACAATTTGGACAAAGGCAAACGCGGAAAATCAAAAGATTGGCCCAGCGTGAGCAGCATGAACTCTCTTTTATACACTTCGCTTTTACTGCTTTACCTTTTCAGCCTTTCTTATAATACTCGGGAAGATTGACGCACCACTTGCCATTTGGCACCTCTGCACGCTGTCAGACTTCTGAGAAGGTGTATTCCTTGAGAAGTTGGCCATTTTCAACAACATCAACAAGCAAATCCTTCTCTGGATGGCCTCTGCCACTGATAATTGTCACATATTTGCAATCTTTGCTAAAGTGCAAGAACCCTGTGTTATCACCCAGACTGTTTGCACGGTAACCACTGGAGCTGTCTAAGTCTATGCTGTCAGCCTTTTGCAATGTGAGTTTTCCCCTCTTTGCTCTTCCAACCTCACGTGCCTCGCCGCCCACCAGCTCAGAGCGTTTGAAATTGAGTTTGAAGGTGTCACGATCAGCCTTCAGCTGTGAACTCCGTCTTCCAAAGCGGAGGTTGACAGTGGCGATCCCCTCCTCCTTTAACCTCTGGAGCACCGGGGGAATTGGACTTGTAGTCATAGTCACCGCCCTCAGCCACCCACACACGGACATAAGGTGGAAGAACCTTGTGACCAGTACCCGTGCTAAACACCATTTCAGGAAACTTTTCCAGGAGGATCTTGAGTACGCCAGCAATCTCATCTGGATCACACCTCTCGAGTCGCACATAAAGCGGCCCCATCTCAACTTGGTTAGTGATGGCCTCCTCAAAATGGCAACGGTCTATGATCTTGTCCCTCAGCGCTTGGTCCCAATATTTCTTACATGTAGTCATGGTGTCAAAGGAATCACTTGAGCAGCTTACACTGCCCTGGTGGTCCAAAATGTGGCGCATTGCATTCAGCTCACCCTCAGGCCCCCAAGTGATGATAGTCGATGGAATGACATTGGGCTTGGCGTAGCCAGTGGCCTCTGTTGCTCCATAAAACTCTGAAGCAAACATGTTGACAATGGGGCTGTCTGAGCCAGTGAAGTTTACCAAATGGTTCAAAGCATTGAGCGCAGCAGACTCCACGGAAGACGCATTTTAGAAGCCAATGTCATGTAGCTCGAAATTTGGGACCGCCATTGGTAGCTTCTCACAACCTGTCTCCTCGTGACCCCGCTGAATGCACAGCTTTATCATTCGGGAGACCGTACACATTGTAATGGAGTACCATACTTGCGTCAGCAAGCTCTCCATAAAACTTGTCAGCCAATAGCACCTTGGGTCAGTGTTCACAAGAGTCATCAGTACAGTGTTGGTGGGCACAACCTGGCCTTCTGGAAGCTCCTTGATCTTGATAGGTAGATGGACACCATGTTTGTCCAAAATCTACTCCCAACCCTCTTTGTGAATTCCATTTCCAAAGTGCTTTTCGTAAATCTTTCCTGCTTGCTGCTTGTTCGATCTTTTCCTTTGTCATGACTTAGCCTGTCAAATACCGCTTGAGAAAATACTGCAGTCCAAAGAAGACAACATCGTCCCAATCCTCGCGATCAGAGCCATCACTGTCAAAGTATATAACTACACACATATTGAGTCCCAGGAGGGTACTCCCACCAATCAGTCGCTTTGGCGCTGTCTGACAACAGGATGATATTGTCGGCGAAAGACATGAGGCCTCTTAATCTTTGCAACACACGTTTACTGTGAGAATGTACATGATTCAAATGAGATCAAGGCATATAATTAAGACACAGACTAACATAACTTCCTTGGACCGAAATGGCTCAAACATTGATTGCTTTTTCAGCTGTCTTGGCACCGTCTCCAGCATGTTGCACACAGCAATAGGATCAATAAGAAGAAGTGCCCGGCGACGACTTTCAAAACCAATTACTCATGTTATACATCACATCACTGATCTCATATGCTCACCAAATCATCTCATCTCTTGGGTTCATACCATCTTTCGGTGCTCACAAACTCATAACGCCTTGCATGCCCCATCTCAAAGGGAGTCTCACTGGCATCTTGCAGATCGGTCTCCATGTCTCTAAAGTTGCGCTTTGCTCTAGTACATATTCCTTCCCGGTTGATCCAACACCAGTACAGTACAGTGCTTATAATTAATCGCTTTTGGATGAGCAGCCATTCCAGCCACCGCAGCTGCGATGTTTCCGCAAGTGGTTCACTGGGTTTTGTACCATTCACGGGGTGGTGAAACTCTATACTTGCGACACACGCTTTCAACAAGTGAGGACTCCTTCCCTTTGTGGCTTTCCACAAATTCTGGCACCTGCAAGGTTGTTGCGCTGAAAGTTATTCAACAATAGCAAGTTTGGCACCTGCCTTGGGAAGCAAGCTCGGATTGTACCGCAGGTAAATGCCCCGAAGCCACTGCTGCAGTTCCATAGGGGATAGCACTTCCAAACGCTTGGACGGAGATGCTGGTAGTTCGAATGCGCTGTGATGATGCACAGTTGCTGGATGGTTCCTGGAAGGGACGTCATGCAACATGCAACAACTAAAAGTAGCAGCAACAAAGTTCAACAAACACACACAATAAGAATTGTGCCAGGTCAAAGCCCAACAATGCGAACGCAGGGTGGGACCGGATCGAAAGCAATTTCAGTTGCGACGGGTGAGAGGAGTGGTGGGATCAGGGTGTCGGGACACACGCCTCCGAATGGAAGTGGCGGCCCATCAGAATCTGATAGAACTGAGGTGCCCATTACCACTGTCTAGCACTCCTTCAAGATCTGATCTCCGGAGGTCTAACAAACAAATCTTCCAAAGCTCCTAAGTGCGTCATGAGGAACTAGGGACCATAATGAACTGACATTCGAGGGCTATTGCCAACAGCACAAAGAGGCCCTTCAAGGACTCGTGAATATATCAATCACACAAAGACCCTGTCCCGATCTTGATGCCAAATCCCTTGTGCGCTCAATGTATTCATATTTGAAAGACGTCGACCGGGAATCTGATGGAATCCGAAGACAGCAGGCTGTACAAAGTCTTCATGTTCACATCAAATACACCCACAAGCAGTCTGATAGCATCTAGTCATGCCTGCAGGGACTGGCTTCAGGGATCCCTGACTGACATCTTTGCGATCTCTAAGGCGTGAACAAAGGACAAGGAGAAACCTTCAAAGGCTTTGCGCGAGCTTGCACATGCCCAGTCGAATCGAGGCAACTTCAAGAACCACGTTGTGCGAGGTTTACCAGGAAGTCTCAATTAAAGACATCTTCAAATACCTTCAAGGAAGACTTCGCACGAGTCTCGGCGGGCAGAGTCCACTTGGAAACATGTTCAAGTGGCACATTGTTGAGCCAGCTCACATGCGAAGAGCAGCCCTCTTCGACGTATCTTTTGACCGAAAGATCTTTAGTTTGTTTCCGCAATGTCCTCCAACTTTGCAAATGAACACAGCAATGAAAACATACAACAACGCACCTCCAGTACAACCGTCAAATCACCTGTCGCCTGACACAATATCAAAGGAACTTTTGCGAGAGCCGGCCCAATTGAAATCCAGCGCTCGCCAGCATAAACTCTCCCTACTGCTACTGCAATGGCAACAGCGGAGACGGCTTGAATGATTGGATAGCACACTAGCTCCAGCGCCCGTTTCTTACTAAGTTGCTATGTTCCTATTGCTAGCAAAATCCCCAAAGAAAACACAAGGTTGGTCGGTCAGCGGTCCTCTCGGGCGGCACTACCTGGCAAACGCAGTATCCGCATGATAATCGTTTGCTTTCCGCAAAATCCTCTTGCGTGTCCACGTCATCGACGGGCTCTGCTGGGTCTGGAACTTCAAAAGCAGCCAGCGTGTCAAGACTCTTCACGACTCTCTTCCCTGGTGTAGCTGGCGCAACATCTTCTCCCAATTGCACCTTGTATTGCTCTCTGCGATCGACAAGCAAACTATCCTTGAGCTGGCTCCGAATCCAGCCACTTTTGCCAGGATTGGGGCCATCGTAAACGCCTCAAAAGCACACAGCAACGGCAAAAACACGCAGAAAAACACATTGAACAATTGTTGAGGGTCCGACTCACTTGCATCCAAAAACCATTGGTTTCCTGCAGTCGGAGAACTTCTACCAAAGATCCGCCTTGGGTATCACTCACTTCAGCTCTGCGGAGTTGCTGAACTATTGCATCGCGATTGTTAGCTGCACTCCACTGTTATTGATGAAAACAGTGCATTCCTTCCTTCACCATCTTGATGCAAACATTGCGCATGGGCAATGGCACTATTTTTGCCAAAGTGTCGAAGTGCCGTGGGCCCGGTAGAGAACGATTTGCAACAGCGGCTCTGCGATGCGGGCTGTTTCTGAAGAGGCTGCGTCTTTAAAATACGATATTTTTCTCCAACCTGTCACACAACGCAAACCTGCAGCATGCTGGAACTCCACACGGCAACGCGTTTGTGCAAAGCAAGAAGTCTGGGCCGCTGTGCCTGCCATGGAGGTGTGTCCGTCGCTGACAGCGGCGGCTGGTCAGCCACCTCTGGACCCAGAAGGTTTGCCGCGTCAAGCGGACTTGGCTCGTCAAAAGCTACACAGCCGGTGGCACTGCCAAGCCCGGCTTTGCCTGCCACTTTTCTCGGCGCACAGCAATGTAGCATCTTCAGCCCTGACTTACAGGCTGCTAAAGAACTAACTGACTCACTTCGAATGACCCCCACCTGGAGAGGTGACTTGGAAGACGGCAGGTGATCATTACAGTTGCAAAAAACTTGCTGCGGATGAAACGTTTTTGATGGTTTCCGGCTCGCCGCGCGCCTCTGCAGGCATTTCGGCATCTGGTTCATAGAGGCTGTGAGCTTTGGTATATCCAGTTTCGGGATGTTGGCGGCAAGAGGCCTTCGATGCTTTTGGCACCCTTCATTATTCTCCTCGCTGCCATCCATGTGACATTGATACAACATATCTTGGGTTAGACGCATTGGTTTCCATTATATACTCACTGGCTTGCCACTACGTTTCTTTGGAAAATGCTCAACTCTGCTGTGGCGCGACCGCTGAAAAATATTCAGCCGCTGACTCACGACAGACTTCAATGAGCTATGTTACTTCGCAAGAGACACGTCTGGAAACTTTGCGCTGTCTGTGGAAAGCATCAATACCCCAGACTTCCTGTTCGCCTCTGGCAGCAAGGTCCAAGAAGCAGCCAGTCCGTCAGACCATTACTTGGTTCTGACACCACCTGGCTGCTCCTAAGCGTGTCCTCCTGCCTGCCGTATCTTCTGACATCCTTTTTGGCCTTCTATCTGGCATATCTTTTGATTCGGCGTATCTTCTGACATCCTTTCTGCCATTATGCCTGGCATATTTTCTCGCTGGCCTGTCTTCTGACGTCCTTTCTGGCGATTCTTCTGGCGTGGGCCCGCGCATGCCCAGACTGAGCCTGTGGTGCGCCGGCCCATGCGCGCCCAGACCGTACGCGCCACCGCGCGCTGAGAGCGCGCTGGCGCTCTCTCTGGCACAGGTCCGCGCGCGCCCTGCATAGGCAGGCGCGGTGTGGAAAAGGAATTCGACGAAGGAAGAAGGGAGGAGCAGCGCCAAATCTAAAAACCATCACCTAGCAGGCGGTGGAAAATACTCCTAACAACGTGCAAAACTAACATAGACGCGGCTTTCGCGTTGCTGGGTTGCCGCAAATCTTGACTCGTCCAACGACTCTGCCATCGCTGACACCAAGTTCAAGGAGCTCAACCTCGTCATTCTTCTCCGCCTGCAGGGAGGCCGCTGAGACTTGGTTCATCAGGCCTCCCAAACATTCGTATTGTTCTGCAATCATTGGTTTTGCAATGTCCTTCCCGACCTGGACTTCCTCCTGGGAAACCGAACGCGGGGCTGGGGTTAGAGCCGGATTCGGAAACTACTAGGGTTCTGAAACTTGGACTCTGAAACTGGTATTCTGAAACTGGGGTTCTGAAACTAGGATTCTGAAACTGGGGTTCTGAAACTAGGATTCTGAAACTGGGATTCTGAAACTGGAAAGTCAGATTCTGCAACTCGCCGTCTGAAACTTGCAACTGGTGATCTCCACATCATGCGATAGCGTGTGTGCCTGTGACATCACCTTCGAAGCACATCGAATCCAAACCAACGTCATAAGCCCCCCACCCCACCCCCCCCCCCCCCCCCTTGTCCCCATCGTGTCCCTCGTCATTCACAAAGTTGCGGAATCCTAGTGAGGGAGTCCACAACGTTGCGGAATCCTAGTTGCGGAACGCCAGTTGCGGAATCCCAGTTGCAGAATCCTAGTTGCGGAATCCTAGTTGCGGAATCTTGACAGTTGCGGAATCCTAGTTAGTTTCGGAATCCTGGTTGCGGAATCCTAGTTGCGGAATTCTAGTTGCGGAATCCTAGTTGCGGAATCCTAGTTTCGGAATCCCAGTTGCGGAATCCCAGTTGCGGAATCCGACCAAACAGTTGCGGAATCCTAGTTGCGGAATCCTGCGCAGTTGCGGAACTCGACTTTGTCCGCGGGCTGGGACAAGTAAAACTTGATTAACAAAGCCCACAACATTTCTAGCGCTTTACCAGGCATTGAAACTGACCAGTCGTGGTCCTCACTTCGCATTGATGGCGCGGAATGCAATGCTGCAGGCACCAAGACTCGGTATCTTCCTGGCACATCTCGGGAGCCCTTCAATCGCCTTGCTCAAACGCGACGGAATTCCTTTCATTCCCCGCTTTAGCTTTTGGCAAGCAGTGAACCTAAAATGGCAACACTGACTGAATCACTTGTGACCTCCAGGCGCGCTGAAAGAAAGCAAACAAATAGTGACTTGACTTGTAACGTCTGAAACTATCCTGTTCGCTAAACCAAACAAACTCTCTCTCTCTCCCTCTCCCTTTCTGGCTCTTGCTTGAAATTATCTTTGCAAACTCCCTTGCTTGAAGCCTTGAAGGTTTTGTTGCCCATGGCTGAATACCACCTTTCGTGATCTCCGAGGCTACCTTTCGCGAAGGTTTTACCAGTAGCTACTGCTTGCGATGTGTGCAACTACCATTCGCAATGTCTCGCGCTTAGCTGAAGCTACTTTCGCAATGGTTCGTGCTAGCTTGCGTCATGGTATAGCGACATGCGGAAAGGTTTTTCGATGTTTTGCGGCAGCTGGCTAAACTCTGACGTCATGGAATAAGAATAAAATCGCAAAACTATCCTGCTAATTGGGAACGCAATGAATGCAATGCCAGCTTCCACTGAGGCTGTGGCCGCAAGGAGACTGGAATTGGCTTTGCCTGGGTTACAAAACGAAGTTGTCAACTAACCAGGTGCCCGCGTCCAAATGTGAGCGCTCTGTTCAACGTCCAAACTTGCATCTGTCAGATCCAAGGCGCAAGCCAGCCTGCCTTCCCTAGCGATTCCGCTAGCGCATGGCAAAAACCTGCGCCAAAGCGCTCGACTTCTTAACCACTGTGTCTGAAGACCTCCTGCCTACATGTTTTGTTTTTTTACCCGTGCGTTGCACCAGTGGAAATGATTGGCCCGAATGCAGGCTTGGTCAATATGTCGTGGTTTGCCTCACAAAGCCCGTGAATCACACGTCTAATCCTCGTTGTCGTACCACCCACAGGTGTTACACCGGTGTCTACTACCAAGCCTTGTTGAAGCGCCAACCATCCCGTTCTCCAACGACGCATCGTGTTTACCAACATGTTTCCCTTCCCCATGGCACGGACCCACGCAAGCGCTGTCCACCGAGGCCGCGCAAGACCATCGCAGACACATTATCGCCATGCAGTGTGCCATAGAATGTTTTACGCCAAGCCTCGAGGCCTCGTGGACGCCGCCAATCATCCTGCTCCCCAGCAACACGCCGCGCTTACGCCGGCATGTTTCCCTTCCCCTGTGGCACGGACTCACGCAAACGCGCTTTCTACCGAGGCCCCACGAAACCGCATGGGGATTTCACCGTGCAGTGTGCTGCCATAGGCTTGACTAGATTCAAGAAACACGAAGCCTCATGGGCGTCGCCAATCATCCCTCCCCCGCAACGCCCGCGACGCCGCGTTTACGCCAGCATCTTTCCCTGGCCCCATGGCGTGGGCTCACACAAATGCACTAACCGCGACGCAATTTCGCCACACGGTGTGCCACAGACTAGATACAACAATGTAACAAATGTAGCGCCGCCCATCACCCCCCCGGCGACACGCTGCACTCATGCCAGTGTGTTTCAATGGCATGGCTTCACACAGACGCGCCTTCCACCGAGGCCGCGCAAAACCGCACGGCGCTGCCACGGAGACCAGACAACAGGGCACGTGCCACCCGGGTACAGTATATTTTTGTATGGCCGCGGGAGTGGCCAGCCTCAAGTAGTGCCCACGTGGCCGCCACTACGTCACGCTCTTTTCTAAACATATTGAATTGGAGAGGCCTCTCAACCTTCCTGTCGCGCGCGCTTCTGTTGACACCTATCGAATATCGAGTCTCTTCTTTCCAAGCCCTCTGTCAACTTCCCTGGCCACATCGGCCACATTAACCACTTCAACCTTCTGTTGAACGTTTGCCTGGGCCACTTCCGCCGCGAGAAGCGGCTGAAGTGGCCCAAGCCTCGCGCGGTGCGCCACGCTCGCCATTGCCAGCGACACGCCGCGTTTAGGCCAACGTGATGGTATGGTATCGCACAGACGGGCGTGCAATTGAGGCCGCGCAAAACAGCGACATCACAGACGCAACCACGCCACACTGCACAGGCCAATCATCCCGCTCCCCCGCAACACGCCGTGTTTACGCCAGCGTGTTTCGCTTTCGCAATGGCACGGACTCGCGCAAACGCACTTTCCAATAGGCCGCGCAAAACCAGACGCCGTACGGTGCCATAGCCTAGGCGAAACAATGTAATGCCAAGCCTGCTGAACACCGCCAATCATCTCGCTACCCAGCGACACGCCACGTTCAAGCCAGCATGCGTCCCCTAAAGATATGGCTCTTAGAGCCTGTGAACCACGGCAACACGAACATGGGTGAATCAAATGCCTTACATGACTTTGACAAAAACAAAGCACGTCATACAAGACTTTCCCAAAGTTAAACAGGCGCCATTCACGAACTATTCCGAAACAACAAACCAATGCAAACAACAAGAAAATAACACATTTGAACAATTTCAATTGGCGAGGCGGCAGAGCAAATTCAGTAGTGAATAGAAGGCGCATCTGTCACTGTGGTTGTTTTGGTGGCGCGCGCTTTCCTGGACCCCTCTGTTCCACCCCAACCATGCCTGCGGACGTCTCCGTGTCCAAAACAAGCACTTTGGCCTCACAAGTCAACGCCCTGCCAAAGGGTGAGCGTCTGCGGCGTGCTGTATGGAAGCGTTTAGCAGGCACAGTTCGTCACCGTGCCTGTGGTTGGATTGTAGCCGATATCTCCGAGTCTGGCACTGGAGACTCCATCAACCGTGCGGGTTTCGTCACCAAGTAGCGGCTGCCCACCATGGGATAAACATCCACATCAGGCCTTTCTACGAGGTTCCAAGGTCTGCAGCCCCTTCTCCCTTAAACTGCACACCGTCAAAACTCTCACTCTCTTCATCTCTCATCTCCTGCCTCGCAGTCTTTTTGCTGGAGGTGCAGCCCATGGATGGCGCATAGCGGGTCTGACTACAAAGCGCTGCAAAGCAAGCAGTTTTGATGAAGAAGCAAATTGGTAGAAAAGGGCGCGTGCGACAAATAAAGTAAAGCTATGGAGAAAGAGCGTGCGCAACAATTCATGAGCTACACGACCCTGACAATCATCGCAGTTCTGTTGGCTGTCAACCTTTTGCTCCTCCACCAGCGAGTGTCACTGTGTCTAGCGTCGGAGCGCATTCAAGTCAGTTTCGTCAATCGGTTGCAGGTAGAGGCTTCGGTCACGTTGAGTCATGATGCACTCTCTTCAACAGCTGCAGGTCTGCTCTGGCAGCTCCAAGCACTGGTGCTTCACGCTCATGCGCAGTGGAAGTGTAGAGCGCATATCCCAATCCACAATGCCGTGCGAACACCGAATACCTGCACATGCAAAATGCTTCACCAAGGACTTGAATTGTTCCTTGATGATGACGCCATACAAAAACATTAGCGCCACGCTACAGGCAAGGGCAAGCGAACCCCAACACGAACTTGTCTCTTTATGTGGATAACACCCCTCTTTTGTTAGAGTAGAGACCACGCGCGAGAGAGGATAAACATCCTAAACATGACAGCGCACACAGGAGCGCGCGTGTAAGAGCATTCATGTAAGGCTGACATAGAAGAGCGCGCGTATGTGAGAGCAGACGCGTGAGAGTACCCACGCGAAAGCTCACTTATGTGATCAACACACGCGAGCGCGCGCCCAAGGGCGAGCGCATACTCAGACATACTCGAGATGAGAGCGCGTACGGTCAGAGAGTGAAAAGGGCGCCTGGGTAGACCAATGAAATAAAAAGGTCCGTAGGGAAGGTCAATGTTGATTTTGTGGCTTGGCCACTGTGCCATCTCGGAGGAAACTTCTGCGCAACGAGTTCGTTCACCAGTTCCAACAATGTGCAGGTACAGGAAACTGACCACTTTCAGTGTCATTGTGTGTAATAAAGGATGAAAGTCCAACACACCCCTCCAAAGTGAACGAACGAAAATGGATTAAATCATCACTACCCTTTCCTGAGGGGGGAGGTCGAAAATTGTAAGTTACATTTTCATATGCGGAGGGCCTCAAACAATGTAATTATATACATTAACTTTGAGGTGGCCTCAAAAAAGGTAACTTACATGTTTGAGGTCTCATGGGTGATTTCCCGGGGAATGACCTCAAAAATGTAAGTTACATTTCGCTTACATTTTGGGACCCCCCCCCATCCCCCCCTGAATCTTGCTGTCAGACACACTCAATTCTGCTATGTTTTTGCCCTGGCTACTTGTTCCTTGCTAGAAAGAGCAGATGAGGGAACAGCAGTCATCATCAACAAAGAAGAACAGGAAACACGCCCAGAGCAAACTGCCAAGAAACAGGAACATACATGTTCCCAATGAACCCCGCAAAGGAAGGCAACAAAGCGAAACCCAAACATAACAGAGGATCACATTCCATACGCAATAAACAATGATGGAGAACAATAAAGGAGAGGCTGCCTGTTCTATTGCGCAGGAGAACAAGGATATTCAATGCTGTTTGATCCCATCTTGCCCCCCTGCTTGTGCTTCGTGGCGTCGGACGTGTGTGATTTTCAGTATGCTAAAATGTAAGTAACTCAGGGGGGCACCCCAGATCCTTGTAAATTCTGGGGAGTTGGGCATGTCGCAAACATGTAAGTTACAATTTGTGAGGTCAAACTTTCTCACACAATCTTTCTCACATAACCCATGTATTCCCTGTAAAATTTGAGGGTTTGGATGCGTGGACTAATTGCAAGCTACAACTTTGGCGTCTGCAAATCTCACCTTTTGCCTGTGTCTTGGTCCTGGATTTTTGCTATGTTTTCCTTGGCGCTGAGGCATCAGTTTGTGTGTGTATATCATTAGGATTTCCGCTTGGCGTCATTGGTGGCGGCTTGCGCCGACAGGGAGGGGCCGTGGTGGACGCTTCAAAAGCATCATGCTCAAGATCAACCGGTCATGCGAGAAGAGACCAAATTCATCGCAGTTCTTGGGAAATGAGCTTGCGTGTGAGTTGGCATTCACTTTGGGATATGGCCGCGCCATGAAAGAGGTTTTGCATCTCCGAAAAAGTGCTTCCAAAAGCTGACTTGCAGAGCTCATACTTGCCACAGTCCCCCATATCCCCCACACATCCCTTCGATCTGCCAACTAAGGGGGTACCCTAAAATGTAACTTACTTTTTTGAGGTCCCCCCTCCCGGCAGTAGCTTAAGGGGGTAGGATATTACTGTAAAAGCACACCTTTTGGTTCCGACACGTTCGCCTGGCATGACATGCCACCCTTGACCGCCAACTTTACAGGCACAAGGGTCTAGCAATGTAGATGGAAAATAGAGCCATGCGCGTCGGTTTGCATGCCCTCTGTTGAGGGCCTCTTACATTGGTGCTGCGGAGCTGTCTGGTTTCGTTTTTAGAGGCCTTTGGGGATGGCTTCAGGTTGGAGGCCAGCATGGCGGCCCACGCCGCTTTTGAGGATGCAGGACGCCACCATCGAGGGGAGTGACGCTCGGCCTGCTGCTTGGTCCACTCCGTCTCACACGAGATGGGAGTGGAATGACACGGACTGGGAGGGCCCGGGACGACCGAGCGATCCGTGGGATGATGGAGGTGATCCTTGGAGTGGTTCAACTGATGGTTGGTTGACCGACCACCAAATGAGACAGTTCAACACGGCTAGAGTAGATAGGACTACTCCTGTCATCAATGGTCGCTGGTCTGGTTCACACGACATCGAGCCGACCGGCGCTGGGGGGCGATGGGCTGATCCTGACTGGGATGATCCTCGTGGTGGTCGGGGGAAGGCGACTGAGAAGCTAGTGGTGCCCGGCTTCGATGGGGAGTGTGCCTCGGAGGCCGTACGGCTAGGTCGTATGTGAGAAAAGTGCAGGTTTGGCTGAGGTGCACCAAAATGTCTCCCGACCAAAGAGCCCTGGCCCTATACAACGAGCTCAGCGGAAAAGCCTGGGTCTATGCTGAGGAGTTGGATGTGGACATCCTTGCCACCGAGAATGGTGTCTCCTACTTCTTGGAGTGGGTTCAAACCCGTTTCATGGAGGTGGAAGTCACGAAGGTTTCCTCCATGATGACCGACCTCTTCAAGCAATGCAAGAGGAAACCGGAGCAGTCAGTGCGTGAGTTCAACGTGGAGTTTGAGCGACTCGTACTCCGCCTCCATGAGGTGCAGTGTGAACTTCCGCCTCTCATCAAGGCATGGTTGTACTTGGACAAGTTGCACCTGCCGGAGCAAGAAGAGCTTTCCCTCCTCTCCAGCGTGAACAACCAGTTCGATGTGAAGAAGTTGCAGCAGGCTGCATTGATCCAAGACCGTTCAACTAGACGGCCTGGTGGTGGCAACTTCGGGGGCAACAGCTGGAAGAGGCCTGACAAGTGGCAGCGCCACTCCGTGCACATGACTGAGGCAGTGGACGAGTCGAGCGAGGGAGACTCTCAAGCTGCTGAAGAAGATGAGCTAGTGGCTGAAGATGTGGCGGCCGCTGCACACAGCGCATACATGACCTACCAGAACGCCAAGGCCAAATACCGGGAGACTGTCCGTGGCCGTGGAGCTGACATGGAGGAGATCCGCAAACGCTCTGAAGAGCGACTCAAGTTGGCCAAACAACGCTCGTACTGTTCGGCCTGCAAACGAAAAGGCCATTGGCACAAGGACCCTGAGTGCCCCCTTCGCGGGCGATCAAGTGGGTCTGGTGGTGATCGCGACAAGTCGAACGATGTCCAGATGACGGTGCATTCCGCCCAGATGTGCAGCGTGGTTCACGAGTGCTATGTCACGGACAGCCAGGAGACCATGGTTCCCGACTTTGTGAAGGGCAACCTCCTGGCCATCGTGGATACTGCTTGCACCAAGACGGTGGCGGGGCACAGTTGGTTTGAGGCCTACTGCGACATGGCCGACACCTTAGGGTTTGCTACCACCACCTACGACCACGAAGAATTTTTCAAGTTTGGAGCATCCCGTGTGTACACTTCCACGTTTGGGGTGCTCGCTTGGTTTTCCGTTTGTAGACAATGGTTTTTGGTCAAAGTGGCCATTGTCCCATGTGCAGCGCCGCTATTGCTGAGCAGGCCGGTGCTCGGAGCGCTGGGCATGACCTATGATTTGGAAAAGCAGGAGGTGAACCTCCGAGCGTTGCACCTTGAGAACATAGCTTTGTACACCAGCCCTACGGGGCATCCTGCCTTGCTGGTGAATGATTATGACGGCAAAAAGCCTCCTTTGGTGACCGGTGACAACACCGGAGAAGTGTACGTGCCCGACATCGAGGCATACATGGCTGCGCAGTCGTCCGCTTTGCAACCCCTGTTTTATCCCAAAGTCCTTCCCAAAGAGATCGAGAACATGTTGAGCGCGCATCAACCTCTGGGAGGGGCTGGCTTCTTTTGTTGGTGGCGCACGGCCAAGCAATCAAGAGATTTTTGGATTGAGACTGAAATGGAGTATATTCGCATCCATGTCGTTCCTCGTCGCACCTTGTTCAACCCCACATCGTGGAATACACGTTTGCTTGGTTTGAAAGATGTTTTCTTGAAAAGGCTTGATGGACATCGTACAACGGAAGCTTTACCATGTTTGTCAGAAGGCACGGAGGTGATCACCAAGGTAGAAGAATCTTTTGAGAGTGAAGAGAAGTTCATGATTTGCCCTTGGATTGGTCGCAGCCGCTTCAGCAAGTTCAAGCCGCACGTGACGCGCCTGACGATCGCTGCCCCGACCTCGGATGCCCGCTCAAGTCCCATCGCCATGGAACATGAAGAAGCAGGAGCTGTTGATCGAGCTCAACGACCGCGGGGTCCCCGTGCACTCGACATGGACCGTGCCGGAATTGAGGTCCATCTTGGTGGAGCAGCGAGAGCTGGAGAAGCCCAACGAGGAGGACCGCATGAAGGAGCAGCTGGTGGAGGCTGCCAAGAAGGAGAACATCACCATCCCGGCCAAGCCGACG